CAGTATTTCCTTCTTTAAGATATTTATCTCTTCTTTGACTACAACTAATATTCCTCATCTTTTCATTCTCTTTTGATTTAGACCTGATATGATTTTCATAAGTATTCACAACCTTTCTGATCCAGGTATATCTGCCACTTAAAAATTGATATGTTAATGTTACATTTGGCCTGACATGGATACTTTTATCGAGAACTCTGTGAAGGCTTTTTATGAGAAATGTCAAAGTTTAAAGATACATAGGCATACAGAATCGCCCATTTTGACTTCGTGATGCCAGATTTTCTCACATTCACGTAAATGCACCTGAAAACCCTCACTGGACAGAATCATTACCTCTTATACTTTTAGGTGTTTATTGTTCCGGCAAAGATGGCATCCAAGCAGTTTAGTCTGAGAGGGTATATAGTACTGCCTTCAGATATCTTTTGCTCAGATCAGCTTACTCCGCCACCCTGTCACCAACATATGTTAATTGTTTATGATGTATAATTCAATCTCTGATTCCTATTGTAACATCAAAACACAGTTTAGAACCTGTGCACATTCATCCATCTTAAAATTGTGCTGTTATGTTAATCTGAGAATTGACACTGTCAAGCCTCCTCTTTAACTTCTTATTGGTGCTAATGGATGGAGTATGAGTAAGCAAGTACATACCAGTCAGCACCGAGCGAGCATACCACCATTGATTTCTACAATGGCGACCCAGAGAACTACACATGTTCCCCCCTTCTCACTGAGTACAAATGATGAACTATGTCACACATGCCTAAGCGCTCTTTCACACTTCATCTCAAAGCTAAGGGCGACACACAAGCCAAATCCTCTTAAAATCATGCTCTATCTTGCAACAGTTGGTCCAACTAAGCATCCCCACACCCCACAGCACAGCCCATTGACAGAATGATCAAATCTCGTCAATGCACTGGGCTCACAATGCAGGCTTAGTTCACACCACCAATCATATCATATTGCATAAAAAATGCTTGGGAGAGGAGTATGTGGCGATCTTGAGAGCTAATAAAATGCTGGCATTAGAAAGTAGTTCGAATGTGAGAATTTATTGCCTGGGAGCTTTTTTGCAACAGCAGTATGAAATTCAGCTGCCATATAACAGACCCAGGATCAAATCCCAATGTCATTATCATTTTCAAGGGCATGCAAAATTCATATGCTACTGCACTTCTCATTGGTGCTAATGGATGGTGACATGAACGAGCAACTACATACTATGAGCACCAAGCAAGCATACATTCATGTGACTGCTACACAGTTGTCACACAGTTTACACTTGTTGTCTGAAATGAAGACATAAGGCAAAGAACTGCATGGTTTCACTGAAATGTATGCTGCATTCAAAAAGATATTTTTTGGTAATGTATCCAGAGCAGCATAAAACAAATAATGATAACAATGAAGACAAAAATAATTCAGTTTGTGAAAACAAGCTGCTTAGCATGCAAAGGAGCATGTTCAATGTATTGACACATTAAAGTTTATCTTCTAATCCTGAAATTTTTCTTCAGACACTTGTTATAAAGTTAGCAGGTAATAACTCTAAGTGTCATGTTTGTGCGTTAGTTGATATAGGATCACAAAAATCATATATTTTAAAGTTTTCAGCTTTAAAAATGAATTATGAGCCAATTAAAGAAGAAACTGTGCAACATTATTTGGAGGGATAGTAACAAATGAATCAATATGTAAATTTTATAAGATTTATTTAGGTAGATTTCATGGTATCTGTATTCTTGAAGCATTAGATTAAGAAATGATTTGTGGTAAACATCTCTTGAGTTAGCTATGGACCCTGGATTCAAGAACTTGAAACTTATTATAAGTTATGATTATATATATATATATAAGTGACATGCAAATGGACCCAAGTCGTATTGAAATATTGATTGAATCAGATGTCTCTGGAAAACTCTGTACATATGAAAGAAAAGAACTTGAAAGAATTTAGGTGCCATGAAGACTAAATTAGGGTGGACAGTAATAAGGAAATTTCCTAGAAGTCAGAATAGAAGGAATGTGAATATGACTGTATCTTCACTGTTTGCAACCCAAGTTATGTAAGAAGCAAAGTTTGATTTGAGAAGTTGGGAATGTAGTTGTGTTGGAACTTCTGCATTGCAGCCAACAAGTCAAGTGTTTTGGGACTATGGGATACAGAAGTAGACACTCTAGAGATTAATCCAGGAAGCTTGGATTTTAAAGAGGATGAAGTGGTGACTAAAAGGAAAATCCTGTCGATTCTTAATCAACTTTTTGATGATATAATTTTTACATGTTCTGTAACATTATATTCTAAACTTCTTGGAAGACAAAGGAAACATGGATGCTGAAGTTGATAATGATATAAAAGAAGATTTTTTGACGGGGACGAAAAACATAGCATATTTAACCAACATTAAAAGTACCCAGACTGTTTGGTGGGAACAGGTAGATTAAATTGTGTCTACATACTTTCTGTGATGTCAATCAACTAGTTGTATGCTGCCACACTTTTTATCAGATGGGAATCAAAGCATGGGATATCAGTACAATTACTACAACACTGATCAAGTATTACTTCTCAGAAGATAATTACCATACCCAGATTGGAACTTCTAGCAGGTACAATTGGAGCTAGGTTGCATAAGTCAGTGATGGAAACTCTTAAATTGGAAAACATAGAATCTTTCCTTTAGACTGACTGAACGATGGTTGTTACTTGTACCTGCCATGAAGTCTAGTTGTCAGTTTTTTTTTTTTTTTTTTCTTTTTTCCAATAACAGAGTAAGAGAAATAACACAACTGACTTCCTCAGACGTATAGGGATGTATACCATATGATTGGTATCCTGCTGATTTTCCTTCTGGGGGATGTGGAGCAATTTATTGTGACAGTGGAAGTAATTTTATAAGAGCTGCTACTGCTTTAAATTATTAACTGGAAGAAAATTGAAGTTTACAGCTCTGCAAAGATCTGTTAAAAATGCATTCCTCCTTCTGAATCATGGTGGGAGAGAATGATAGGTGCTCTTAGACAACTGCTGAGAAAAGTTCTTTGGAAAGCATTGTTAGATTTCAAAGAATTACAAACAGTTCTCAGTGGCTGTGAAGGTATCATCAACCCTTGACCTCTAATTTACATTTCCTAAGATCCAAGTAATCAAGTTCTCTTGACTCCTAATATGTTCCTGAATGATACTGAAGAAAATGAAATACCTGCTCTAGATTTGGTAGAAGCTTATGACCTCAATAAATGGTTGAAGTGCAGATTAAGATTGAAAGAAAAGTTACAGCGAAGATTTCTTTGTGAATACTTAGCCCACCTAAAGATGGAGGTCATTAAAAAAATCAAAGAAAATAAATGTTGATGACATTGTATGAAAGTGATAATAAAAGATGTTGAGAGTGATCCCCCTGTAAAAGTGATAGAGCTTGTGCCAGGCCACAATAGTACAGTTAGAATTGTACATTTCAAGATTGCATTAGGTGTATTGTAATGGGCAATTCAAAGAATCTACTCATTGGAAATTTTTGGACATTAAGATGCTACTGAAGCAACATAAGACTTAGCTCAGTCCAAAAGTGTTAAAAGCCTGAAGACAACAGAAAAGATAAAAGGATTGGTGAGACTACCAAAACAATCTGCATGTGGTCGTGGCATTAAAACTTCTAAACAGTAATTTTTAACTTACAAAATTATTATTTGTAAAGAATTTTAGTGTAGTCCATACGTCATTTTAGTATTAGAGTTATGTTCCCCCCAGGAAATAAAGTCTATAATGTTAAAACTTCTTTGAAGTAAATTAACATAAGGAGAGAGAATTTTAGCTATTGATGAGACAAACCTTTTGATGCTGATACTTAGTTACAGGGAATTGGCAGCAGCATGTTCTTTTCTGTTGTAAGATAGCACTATGTGAATGTGTAACATGTAGCAAACCTGCATTTTCTGTAAAAGTGTGTTTTTAATACTCTTATGAAAAGTATTTTTTTTACCCACATAATATGACTCAGTAGAATTTGTTTACTGAAGGCAAATGATCCTAGTTTTCCAACACCAAATTCAGTTCTTGGCAAACAAGCTGACTGCATGATATCTTCATAATTTTCAGTTTATATAAATTGAGTATAAGCCGCTGTCACTTAGAGATACTCTCCATGAAAGCATCCCATGTAAAACCAATAGTGCTCTAATAATCAGTTTACCAACTGTTCATGGTAATGGTGTGGTAGGTATACTGAAGTGATTAGCATTTAGTTTCAGTTCACATTCTTTGCAGTTCATATATATAAATGTCATCCAGGAGGATCAACTGAACATTCGTTTAATAGATTCAACACTTGAAAGTTAATGCAAGAAAGCAGTTTATTATTAACCTGCATATACATTTTGCAGGATTCAACTTTGTGTTTATCTGTCATTGAATATTACCTGGTTGTAGGAATGTGTGGGAATTAAAAAAAAAAAAAAAAAAAAAAAAAAAAAAAGGAAATAGTGTAAAAGAGAGAGGGCCTATGTAATGTGAATTTTAATAATAAAATAATAAATAAAAAGTTTAGAGTGGCTTGCCAAAAAATAGGAAATGCCTGGTTGTAGATTTGTGTGTGTTATTGGAATTTATGTATTTGCATTATTTGTTCTTTCCAATGTAATTGTTTGAAAATGCCAATAAGAAGGTTTCATTCCCCCTTCCCAAATTAGAAGCTTTAGGTAATTGCCTGGTTGTCAGAAATAATTTCGTAATAGGTAGTTTAAAGAAAGGGAATATATATATATATATACACACACACACACACACACACACACATATATATATTAGCAGAATGTTTTCTGTTAAAAGTATTTGCACTGTAGTGAAAATTTAAAAAGTACTGTGTGATGCTTGTTCATTTTTTTATTTTTGTTAGTAATGTTTTTAATGAATTTAATTTGATATCCTGTATACATACTGCTTTAAATGTGTAAAGATATAGTTATTCCTCATATTTCCTTTTATGCAGGTACCTGGATGAAGTTGCTTTACATCATCTAATAGATGCCCTGTGTAAATTATCTTCAGAATCAATGGAGCTTGCATATACAAACAGGGTTTGTAGAATTTGAATTTTGCTTTTTGCTGTTTTAAGCAGAGAAGTTGCAGAAGTTATGTGCAGTACTATGAGCAAATTGTATTTCATTTTGTTCTGATGGTATAATGTATTATAATTGCAGAAAAAGTAAAATAGATGTAAGATTCTTTGGGGGAGGGGTACATTCTAAGCTAATACTGTGTGAAGTAATACAGAACCACACTGTGTTTTATAAAGTATTTAGAATGTAAGCCCTTAAAGAAAAATGAAATTAAATAGTGTACAAAGTCCACGATCCAGAACTGTCGGGACTTTGGTTCCGGCTTTCAGGTATTTCCAAAGTTTAAATCATCAGTTTAAATTTAGTAAGATGACATGTAAACATGGAAATATTAGGATTTTCTTTATAGTTTAGATCAGAGAGAAAAAATGTAATGCCCCACAACCATTCAAGTGCTAAAAGTGTGGTTGTTGCCAACATCAGTACAATGTCAGTCAGTGCATTGTCATTGGCCATGGTGCCACTTTTCTAGCTTGCAGGTATCAGAAGGTGACATGGAATGTCAGTCCGAAGAAAAATCACATTTTTGGCACACCTACTTCCTGCTGTTAGGTATTTTCATCAATATTCTCCATTCCTAGATATTTTAATATTATTTTATGTATTAATGTATTTTTTGGCGGGTGAACCAGATTTTAGGATCTTAGATCATTCTAGATATTAGACCACCGGATTTCGGACTTTGTGCTGTACCTTGCTCTTATCCTCACTCCTGTTATTTGTAAAAGTAATTGAGCATAAATAGGAAAAATGAAACTGAATTAAGGACAGATTTCGAAAATTTAAAAATTCCTTACAATATTGAAGAATGTAAAATTTGGCAACTGTGTTCTTTATGTTGCTGCTGTTTCATTTTTCAGCGAATATTTTAGAAGAGAAACTAACACTTTTATGATTGAAACAGAACTAAGAAATCTTCATTTCTCTTTCTATTCTTTGCATGTGGAATCTTTCTGTATTTTTTAAAGTGTTAAGGGGACACAGGAGCCTTTCAATTTTCTTTTTTAACAAATTGAAATTTGTAATGAAAATTCCTGTTGCATTTTCTTTTAATGAGGAATTGCAAACAAGATTTAGGGGGAAAAAGCATTATTAAACTATTGTTAATGCAAAACTTAACATTGTTTAAAAAATTTTAAATGTATTTGTAAATATGTTGTCCTCTTCACCTGCAAGGTTAACTTAAAGGTGGCAACTGTAGTATTTTCTTAGGTAGACTACGACTAAGATAATCAGTTAGGCAGAGATATGCTGACAAATATCAAAACTATGTCCTGTATCCAGGGTGTCCCAAAAATAGTGCCCAAACTCTTCACAGCCAGATTCCTCGTTGGGAGTACATAAAAATGCCCAAAGAACCGTATCTGCGAAATCCATACTTTATGAGAAACATACGCCACAGTCGATGCAGCGAAAGAACACTTTATTTGACACATCAACAGCAGTATTTATAAAGGCAGATGTTCAAAATATCCGCTGTGTATATCGAGGCAGGCTTGAGTGCTGTAGAATGGATGCATGCACACATTGCAGCAACACGGTCTCTACCGAAGTAGAAGCAGCATGCAGACAAGTAACTAAATCTGTTAAGTGTAACCACTACGTCTCAATACACCAATACCTTGAGATTGATCTGGCCAATTACGTACAAGAGCATAGAAATGCATTGAAGCCTCATCATGCTGGAACCAAAGGCTGTGTATTAGTGCTTAGGATATGTCATCGAGGAACTTGGTTAAGACATCATGGGGAAATGCCAAGTTAGACTGTTCCCGGAGCCATTCAGGCAACAGATATTGCCCAGGCAGGTGATTCCCAAGTGTGCTGGCCCAAACATTTACAGACCAGCGTTCTGCTGCCAATATGCACAGCAAATGTTTTGAACATTATTATCTGGAAAGATATGCAAAAGCTACTGTTGATGTGTCCAGTACGGTGTTTTTCGTTGCACCGGCTGTGACGTATTTTTCTCGTAAAGTATGGATTGTACAGGTACAGTTCTTTGGGCAGTTTTTATGTAATCCCAACAAGGAATCTGGCTGTGCAGAGTTTGGACACTATGGGACACCCTGTGTATTTTTTACTTCTTTCGTGCTAATGTTTGATTCACCATATTTTAAATTTGCATCTCTCTTCATTTCACACACGAAGTGCATTCCTTGCTTGTCCAACCTGCAGGATAGTTCTTTTAATGAGCATAACACTGCACAGGTTGGGGGAAAAAAACTGTCATAATCACCTGATGTCGAGCTATTATTTCAAAATAGACATTAGGAATAACGTATGTGGAAACTTCATGTTCTTCCATCATATTGTTTAGATTTTATTAAATAAATTGTCCTTTAAACAACCTGCAAAATACCTGTTTAACTCAGCATGATCTCCTTATTACAGGAACCATCTCTGTTTGCTGTAGCAAAGCTGCTGGAAACAGGTTTAGTAAATTTATTTCGTGTTGAAGTTCTTTGGAGACCTGTCACTAACCATTTGCTTGAAGTAAGTTACATTTTATTGAGACTCTCTTGGCTATATATTTTCATATAAATGTTTCTTAGCATAAAATTGTGTCTTGCCATTTGAGGTCTACCCTGGTCATAGCAAGAAATAAAGTGATTATAAAATTTTTAGATTAGTAATTTTTTTTTAAATTCTGGGAAAAATATAGTGTTTTTTACTTGCAGTGTAAATCAAAGTATAATTATTTTAAACCAGGGTTTCTCAGCTGGGGAGAAAGAGTAGTAATTGTTTTTTTTATAGTAATGAAATATAATTATGGAATAAAGCAAAAAACTTCATTAAACCTTATTGGGTTTGGTTTAAAATCACTGCAAGTTATTTAAACATCTACAAATATTTGAATGCCAGAATTATTAGGCTTGATGCCATCTGTAACTTCTGCACACATGCATCTGTGGTTCATCAGATAAACAACATTCTTTTTAATAATCTTTAATAGCACACTACAAAAAATTTGTAAGCTTTAGGGGTATGTGATAAATGATGCAAGAAAATGATAATGAAAATTTTCCCTAACAAAACACACAAACAAAAACAAAAAAAATGTTAGAAATGTATTTAAATTTTTACTATACTGTAGCTAATTGTGAGATGTAATTTAAGGTATCTTATCACCTGAAATTGTTATTTGATTGAAAATATCTTATTACCTTTGAATTTTCATACCTTTGTACTTAGTCTTTGATTTGTATTTATAGGCCCATTATTTTTAAGCACATCTTAGAATTTTGTGTGTGTGAACAAAATTTCAGTACACGTGAAGTATTAGTACTAATGAAAGTTTAAATTTTAACTGAAAATAGTTTTCCCTGATGCATACTTCTTAAATTCTAAAAATATTCTTTTAGTTTAGGCACTAGTTTATAAGTGTTAGTGCTTCCTGTTTATTTATCCTGGAAATGGATTCAAAACACAGAACCGAAGTGGCTGGTAATGAATCTAAAAAATGTAAACACTGGATGTAAATTGACATATTTTAACTTGAGAATATACATTCCGTACCAAAAAGAGGCCGGACCTGATTTTAGTGATGAAGAAATTGTCGCCTCCTGAGGTCAAGTATGTGATATGAAAGTGGATATCAGTGTGTTGATTTTTCTGATTAAGCATGAGAAGACTAACTCTTTTCTTAAAGGTTTACACAACAGGAGGCCATTTAAAGCATTTAAAGCTAGTATTAGATGGTTCAAATGATTCAAAAAGTACAACAATCTACATAACATCAAAGTCACGCGTGAGGCATTAAGTAAATTTCCCAGATGTCTGACAGAAATAAATAAGGAGAGGATATATTTGTCTAATCAAATATTTAATGTCAAAGAAATCACTTTGTTATAGGAGCAGATGCCAATGCAGACATTTATTGCAAAAGAATAATGTATGGCTACATTTGAGGATGTAAAAGATTGGATCATTCTTATGATAGATGGCAATACTTCAGGGAACTTGAAACTTAAATACGTTACCATTGCAGGTCTTTAGAAACACTGTGAGTAGGTTGCCTATAATCAGGAAATCCAGTAACAAGATTTGGGTTATGAATGTGCTGTTTGCAGGTTTGTTAAATAACCATTTCATCCCCCAGGTAAAAGAATACTGTGCCTAAAAAGAAATAAAAAAAGGGGCTGTTTCTCTAGGATAATGCTTGCCATCACCTGGGGGAAATGAATGGCATATTCTGATATCAGAGTTGCTTAGCTCCTTTAAGAATTACTACATTATTACAGCCTATGAATCATGATGATATTATGAATTTCAAAGCGAGTCTGTGGCATGTTTTCCCAAGCAACCAAGGTCATTGTTAGTAGCGAGAGCTTTTTATGATTTCTGGAAGAATTGATATTCTTGATACTGTGGAAACATAAGGGTGGTATGGGATAAGGTCAAGCAGACATCAGTGAAAATTGTGTTAAAGAAACTGTGCCCAGAAATAGTTTGAACTTGTGTAAATAAAGGAGAGGTGACAATTTCTGATATGGTTGAGTTGGCAGAAGAATAGAGAAAGCAATGCAGATGTTTATGCAACTAACATAACAGTTAGAACTGAAAGTTGATGATGATATGAGCTTATGAGTTTCTTATGGGTCATAATGAAGAGCTTATTTATGGTCATCACATTCAGTTGGAGCCATTCCAAAGTTGTGAACAAAATACTATGTTGATTGGGCAGCTTGCAGAGCTTATTTGTGATCATCATATTCAGTTGGAGCCATTCCAAAATTGTGAACAAAATACTCTGTTGAATGAGCTAGCAACTTGAGGTGTTATGAAATTTGCAACAAATAGTCTAGCCAGCGTATTTAACCTGAACACGTGGTGCAACCTGAATGTAAACCAACCAGTTTATGAATGTTTATCAGCTGTATCCATTCCTATATACAAGGTCATCCCTAATAACAGAAAGTGTTTGACTTCACTGCTTTAGACATGCGTGTGAGAAGTCACTCACAGCCTCTAGATGACAAGCTATAAAACCAACTATCATCAACCTTCAAAATTGAGAGGGTTAGAAATTGCCCAAGAGAAGCATTTCTCTTCAGAACCATTCACCTCAACACCAGCTTTTCCACTAAAGAGCTAAATTAGCTGCCATAAGATATTTTTTATTTGAATAGTAGCATTTCTATTTGCATTTATATTCTTTTATACATATTTCATACTTTTACAAAAAATATCAAGTTTAAGCAAAGAATCTGTTTTTAAAATTTGACAGGTACCTACTTACTGCATGCTAAGAGTATAGCAATTCAATTTAAAAGTTTTCTTGATTTGCTTGTTATTAGCTTTAACTATAGTTCAGTGCACACCAGATGAAAAATCAAGTTGCTGATTTTAGTATATGACAATCAGATTTGTGGGATGGATAATCAGATTGGGGGAGCACAATGCTGAGTGATTTGCTCACATTGATAATAGATGACTGTAAATTGTAGTTTCAAATGAAGGGCAGTGCAAGGATGGTGACGATACTAGAAGGGAATTTGCAACCTTTAGATGGGAGTTTATAAAGTAAAGACTATTTTAAGATTAAATTGCGAGAGAGGGGTTATCTTGGTTTAGCAAATCGAAAAGTGTAGATAGATTATAAGCTCATAATGGAAACTGACTTTATTGTGTACAAAACATTGTTTGAAGGAATTTTTGGCTAGTGCAAAGTAGTGCATTATTAAAATGTCTAGTATCAATTAATACATAAGACTAATAGCTAGTATATTTTAGGCTCAATTCTTGTCTAATTTGGATTTCATTAGCCTCCGGAATAAAGAGATTCTGAAAATGCATTGATGTCTTGCATGTAAATATTTTCTGTAATATCAAATTGCATAAGAGAAAGCTTGGTTAGATTCAAGTGAGTGAAGGCTTCATTTATTTGTAGAGAAAAACATTGATTGATGATAATTGAATTTGAAATTGATTTTTTTTTCTTGGGCTGAATACAAGCCATAATTTTATTTTGCTTTCTGTTACGGGGGAGCTCAAACTAAAAAGCAAATTAAAGGTTTACAAGACAAATTAAATTTGTTTAAATATGTGTTATATAAACCATTTAACAGTTCATTCTTGATGTTTCTTGAAAATATTATTCATGGGTATGTTACATTTTTTAGGTATGTCAACATCCACATATCAGAATGAGGGAATGGGGAGCAGAAGCTGTAACATTTTTAGTAAAAGCTGCTCTTTTTCATAAATATGAACCATCTCTAAAGGAAAACAAAGTAAGCATATTTTGTATTATTTATTTTTATACAATATTTAGCAGCATTCTTTAATACATGCTATGTATGGTGTCTTAAGTATTGATAGTTTTTAATATTAAAGAAACCATGCATAATGTGTGTTAAAGAATGCTGATGAATATTAAATAATTTTTTTTTGTTGCAGTTTATGTAAACAATTAAGAATAATAGTTCTATACATTTCTGTTTTTTATATGGTATATACTCCCGTGTTAAGTAATTTTGCATGAAATATTTGTAGGGCAGTTTGGCTTGAAATGTAAGAAATTATAGCATAGTTCCTTTCAAAGTAACATTTGCTCGAACACACATATTTACTGTTTGATATCTGTTTTACTGTTTGATACTGATATCTGTTATGACTAGCTTTTGCTTTGTTTTGAGAGCTGTTTAGAAAAAAGAAAACAGCAGAAAAATGAGAATGTGGGAAATGTTGCAGCATGACAGAGAGCTGTTTTTGATAAAATAAGCTTTTATTTTACTGAAGCTGCAATTCAGAGTGCAACATTGGGCTAAAAGATGTTGAATGCAACTACTACCTGGCATCAACTACTGTCCAAATTGAGTTTTCATGGTGATACTTCAGCAACTTCATACAATGGCTGAGTCATAGTGATACTTCTGCAGCGCTATGTAAAATATGCTGTCCTGGATCAAGTTGCTTGTATTTCTTCTGTTAAAGAGTATGCTAATTCCTCTAACAGCCTCATTAAATCATCTCACTCCCATGTATGTGGCATGATGTTTCCTTGAACGTTTCTAGGAATGTGTATAGTATCTGAGAATGAACAGGGAATGAAGTTTGTGTGAAATATGTATTGTGTGAAATGCACTGGAAGTGCTTTCACTTAATTCAGCTGTGCAAAAAGTCATGAAAAAAAAAAAAACATTTCAACATGTGCATTGTTAACAGCATGATATAGTCTGTCATGGTGATATTTTAACAAGGTAATTTGGTGTAGCACTTGCAGTTGCTTGTGTGATAAGCTTTTTGAGGTGGTCAAGAATATCAGTTCTTTAATTGTAGCTCTCAGTTTTTGAAAAGCAGTCTTGTGGGATAAAATTTTAATTTCTTCTTGAAGTAGGTCCATTTTTTGGTAATTCATCATCTTGGAAATGAATCATTCAACTTGTCTTGCACTTGATTCTCAAAGTAAGGCAGTGCTGTGTCTTACTAAAAGATCTGTAATTCAGTGTTTTTCATAGTTATCTGCTTGATTTAAGGGAGCAAAAGTGTTTATAGGATGTCCAAATACTCATTTATTGTAATTTTAACAGAAAAGGAGCTAAAAATTTTGCTTTTCATTAGGCTGTACCTAACGATGCTTCATAAAATATTAAGCCTCAAGTTCACAAGATTGTAACAATTTTCATTATCATTTGCAAAGAACATTGCCTTAGCTGATAAGAGGATATTTTAGAGAAATTCTGGTTAATTGTGAAGTCTATGCATCATGCAAACACCATAGGTAACCCTGTGTTTCTTGTCTCACAGTTTAATTAAATACAACAGTTAAATTTTATAGAACTATAACCATAATCTTTTTTGTGATGTTATGCAAAGTTGTTCAAAATGTGAAATGGACTTCTGAGGGTTAAAAATGCGACTGATTATTTTAGCTGTATTTTCTGATCTTAAGAGCCTTCCTTTTATTTTTCTCTTTGGTACACTGCCAGTCTGCTGGAACCGTTTTACCACTGTCTGATGTTCTGATGTGGTGAGACATCATTATGCTCTCATCTGAATCACGTGCCAGATTAATGGGTTTGTGCTCTATTAACCATTAGGTACGCACAGCTTTTTCTTATATCTGAAGCATAAGCAGCATTTAAAAATTACTAGTGCTTAAATAAAAAAAAAGTGGCATGAGTTGTTATCATCACTTGGAGATATGAAAATGAAATGATAAAAATCATGCAGTGACTCCTTTGCTGAGTTCAAGGCTAAAATTTGCAAGTGGCTCATCTGCCTCAAGTGCTGGAATTGGAATGAATGTCCTAATCAAGTTTACCTCTGTTTATTATGTTTCATTTAGGGCTGCTGTGTTTATGAGAATTGACATTCAGATGTATGCAGGATCATGAAGAAGGTCTCTTTTGCAACATGATTTTGTGGCAATTTTATTGGCTTCTTTAATTTTAAGGTTATTGTTGTGCTGGACATTGTTGAAAATATTAGCATTGTCCCATTCAGTTACCAAGATGGGTATTCTAGGAAGTGTTTTACCGAAGACGTACTATTTTCTTTTTTCATTGATTGAGAGTTTATAAACATCTTTTTATGCTGAGTTAATCTTATTGATAATTATTTAGATGTCAAATCAATTGCATTGGATTTCAGTATTTGTTTCTTCATTGCAGACAAGCGGCTGTTTCCTATCTGATGAATACTGTATGGACTGAAGGAATAGTAGGGCAATGGTTTAATTAATTTATTCCAAGTAAATTCCACTAAATTTATTTATACAGTCTGAGATACAAAATTACAAAATCCCCCAAACTGGTATGCAAGTTACTGAATAGCAGAATGCATATGATTAAAATTTGGACACTAATGAATGAGAAATTTATTCTGTAGTGCTTGTGAAGAATGCAGTGTGAATGTATTAAAGCCTTTTGGAAACTTAAGTTATGTTTTTCGACTTGTCTCCATCCAACTGTGCATCCTGGAGCCAGGTTTCATTTGGAAATTGGCATATTGGTACATGCCCATCAATGTGATGGACCAGAGAACATAATTCTTCGGACCATGCAACTTTCTTCCATTCTTGTAATGTCCAATTCCGATGTTTCTCGACCCATTGCAGACTTATCTGGTGATGACATGCTGTCAGTGCAGTGACATGCTTTGGCCTCCGGCATACGAAAGCATGTCCATATGGTGCACAGTGTGTTGACAAACATTGTCTAGGTTGCCACTGTTGTAGCTGGTAGTGATTTCAGCTGTTGTAGCTCTTTGATCACAGCGAAAAATGCATAGCAATCTCTGCTGTCTTCTGGAATCATTGAACCATCGAAGACACACTGCTGCCAAGTGACTTGTCATTTCACCATCCATACACCACTTTCGATATGTGCTCCCAACAACTGCACGTGAATAGCCCACTAAATGCACCATTTTTGATATTGATGTTTCCAGTCGCTGAGCCGTAATGATTTGACATTCATCAAAGTCTGATAAATCAGCTGCTTTTACCATTTATGTTGCTAATCTCGCTATGTTTGGAAAGACAATGTGAAGCCACTTTACATACTCCAACATCAGCCACGCACTCACAGTGGTTTTGTTCTTGGATGAGCTCATTGTTATAGATGGAGGGTGGCATGATGTAATGGCTCTTTGTCGTAAGACATTTTAAGACATTGAACCTCTCATGAAACACCCTCCTTGCTGTTTGTAAGCTTGTTCACTAGCTCTAAACACTGTGAAATTGCAAATGAAGTGAAAGGCTTCATTATCAATTATAAATGTTAGTGATATTATCAGTGTTCTGTTGTAAATGTTAGTGATGAATTTTGATGCATTTGTTAGTTGCTCAATTAATATTTTTACCCAAATCTTTCCAAACTTGAACCAATACACTGATAGATGGAAACAAAGGCTTAATATCAGACGATATCATGTTGTCATGTTGTCTTTTAATATCATGTTAGAGATGAGTTTCTAGAAATTGTAGTAAAATTTGTTCGTTCTCGTTCTAATAGTTGATTATGTAATCGGATAATTCTCTAAATATATGGTATACACAAAAGAAAGGGGCAATTTCAAACATTAAGAATTAATTTTCTGACCTTTCATGGGTACAATTGCACCTTCAGCTGTAGCAAGTGTCCATGATTCTGAGGTGGTGTTAGCACAGGGTTACTCAACTGGGAGGGAATCCTCCTTAAGGGTGAATGAGATCAGCCGTATATTTAACTGTTAATTATTTATTTTTAGTTTATGAATATTTATTCAAATTATAGTATTTATCAACATTTTCTATCCTTTTTGTTATTTAATTTATAAAACACATTAAAAATAAACTAAATTTAAATAAACCTGTACTTGTACTTTTCAATTTTTGGAAGAAGAGAGAATGATCTAACAATCGTGAAAGGGGTGCATGGGGTAAAATAGGTTGAGAATTACTGTGCTAGCAGTTTTCTCATGCTTACTGAGAAGCTAGAGGTCTGGCTTCAAAGAAGACATAGCTGTGTGCTCTATTTTTAGGTGACAAACTCTGTAATTAACTGCATCATGAATTCCATGCATGGTTTAAAAGAAATTTCACGGTGACTCTCCATACTTCAACATTTCTGTGAAATTTCCTATGAGAAAATGGCCTTCTCTATTTATGACTCCCATTTGCTGGATTTCATACTGCATGATTTCTTTCTTTGCTAAAAGAAAATATTTGTATACCTTGTATGCTTGGAAGCCGATACTTATATTTATAGCTGACATCCATCCAGAAACTTCACAATTGGGTAACACATGTATTCCAGACTATTATAGCAGATAAGATGGAAAAGCATTTAATTGCTGTTTGGGTATGTATTTGATGAGCCAGGGCACATGTGCAGTATTATCAAAACATTGAAAACTGTTCCCTTACCTCTGCTTTTGATGTATGCTGTGCCAATACCTTAAACAGAACAACTACCAGATTGTCGTTTCAAAAACTAGTGGCCTACAATCGTGTAGGTCACCTACTTCCTGCTGCAAAAGAAATGTGTGTTTTCAAAGTTGTACTAATAGCATGGTTTCTTCAATGCTATGTATGTGTATACACACATTATTTTTCCTTTTTTTTGTTATATATATATATGTAGAGGGATGAAAATATATATTTTCAATTCATTTGCGGATATAATATTGGAAACATATTCATATGTACAAAAATATATTATAAATTATTAATTTTTATATGCTGATATGTTTACAATTAAAATAATGCTTACATGACTTTTGACTTAAGATGTGTAACAATAATGAAAAGTTAGAATTCCACCCTTCCCATGCTAATAATAGTATAAGTCCTTAACTGCATAACAAATATACAGGAAGGATGTATGGAAATATTTTTTAAGGAAGTTAGAAGCATTCAAATTTCAGCAGGGAAAATTTATAAGAACAATATTTTCTGTTACAGAAACTAATTTTATATATACACACAACTTATATTGCAGTTCTTTCATATTTTTATAAATAACAAGGTGTTAGCCGAGATATTTGCCTTCATTACCAGAGTATATGTCATAGAGCCTAAGTGCTATGAAGTGATAGGATACTGGACGTTCCTTGCATTAACAACTCCATCCCTCCCTCTTCCCGTAATGAAATTCACAATTTTTTTAGTAAATTTTCCTCTGCTGTCACTCAATTAAGTTATTTAATAACATTCTCAAAATATGCTTACATTTATTACATTCAAATTCTAGTTTTTTCATGTAAATTAATATTAAATAACCATTTTCAGTAAAGTTTTGTGCTGTAATTGACAACTGTATTTTATACTGTTGCAATAAGCTTTTATGCTATGAATAAAAATGAAGTTTTTCAAAAGAAAATTTAAATTATAATCTTTTTTCATCATTTAAAGTTTGATTTTTTTTTCTTCCCACCTTATTTGTGGAGTGAGTCATTTATTTTTTCTCTGTAACCCTTAACTAATATGTCTGAGGCAACATACACAAGCAGTTTAAGAAGATTGTTGGAAGAGTGTTAATTTCACATGCTTCAGATGGCAAATAGTTCTTATTGCTACACAGTAGTTCCATAGTGAGCTGGGTTGCAGTAACCATATAATTTTTAATTTTTTGAAAAATAGATTCATTTTCAAAAGATATTAGCTTTGGTATAATAATGTAGTAGCAATTATTTCTTATGCTGTGCAAAACTGCACTTTCTATTCCAATAATTAAAAAAAAAAAAAACCAAGAGCATGTTTATTGTTTTAACAGTTTTTTTTTTTTTTTTTTTTTTTTTTGTGTATAAAAACTTCTAGTACAGTGTTTCTATTTTCTGCTATATGCATATGAACTTAAAATTTCAAGTGGTAAAATTAAACAAAATTTCAAAAATTGGAGATTTTAAAAGGTAAGTGAATATTTAGCAATCATACTATTCAATGCATAATTATAGTACCTGATAGATGAATACTTTATACAGTATTATACATAATGTGTACTATGGAAATGAAATTCCATAATATTAATGTAACCATTGTTTTAAATACAGAAGCAAATACATTTGAAAATTTCAGCTTAAAGTTAGGCTTAACCCTCTGAGCGGCCCGTGTTTTGGGATCTGTGATGAAGACCTGTATTTAAAGAGCCTTTATTTGCTAAATATATATATTTATCTGTTTTAGTCCCTATTTTCATAAACTTACATACGTCAAGAGGCATTTATATTATTAATGAAAGTAAAAAAGCAAAATATCCTAAATTGTAAGCTAATATATAACAAGTGGCAGAAAATCTCATGACTGGATAAAGCCGGTCATGGCACTCGGAGGGTTGACGTACCCTACAGTACTTCAGCATTGAAAAATTTTCTCGCTGTATCAAATTTAACTATTCTTTAACAAATCTGCTTCCTTAGGAAATATGCATGCTGACAATTTAGGGCCGCCATTATAATTTCCTTTGCATAACAGCATACAACACTTTCAGGCATAATGAAAACTGACAAAAAATGAAGATAAAAAATCAAGATAAAATGAAACATACAGACATTCAACCTACTAACTTAAATGCTATGTTTCGCTAATGCATCCTCTCACGACCACAGACTAATTCCTCTTGCTTGCTAATGCCATCTGAATGCTTTCATCAAGATTGCTTTGGTTTGACCAAATAAACTATCTTTTGCACCCCATTGAGAAAGCCAACTATTTGTGACATCACTAAGCTGTCAGCCTCCAGAAGGGAGGCTTCTGTTTAAGATGGTATTGTCTGTGCCCATGTGAGAAATAATTTCATAAACTTTTGAATCTACATCTCTTTTTTTTTTTTTTTTTTTGTGTGTGTGTGTATGTGTGTGTGTGTACATATACCGGAGTGTGCTGGGAAATGAAAAAGTGTAGTACACTTCCAATAATTCAAGAATGTTTGTAATCCATGCATGTTTTCAGATGCAAACAAATTAAATGAAAATTCAATGTGGTAGCAAATGTATCATCCATCAACTTTATTATGCTTGTATGCAAATAAACTTTTTAATAGAAGTACCCTACATTAATAACATATTTTGGTTGGAAAAGCAAATTTATTATATTAGTTGGCTTTTGCTACATGTGCAGTAATCTTTATTATTGTTTTTATGAGTACACATTGATCACATCTTGAATCTCTGCAAATATTTCGTTTTACATAAATCTCTACTTTTGGATATATATCTTCCACTATCTCTCAGAATTAATTTTGAGTATGTAAACAATTTATTCAACCTCTCTTTTTTAGATTAGTTCAAACTTTAAATGCATTAATGCTAAGCTTTGTTGTAAATGTTTTTTGGTCAGTCCATGCAAATTGGTTTCTAATATACACTTAAGAATAGCATTTACTGAGATTTCCCTGGCATGAAAAATGCAGAGAAGGCAGAAAGGAGGGAGGCTGGCTGATAGGAACCTTACAGACAGTTAAACAACTTCGAACGTGGTCGCTTTGTAAGGTTGTGTGAAGCTGGGCGGTCATACCGAGCAATAGGGTGCCACTTTCAGAGAACAAACACTGCTGTGCAGAGATGTTTGCAGCAGTGATTGCTACAAGGAAATTGCTGATGAAATGAAGGCTCTAGAAGGCCAAGGAGAAGGCGAGGCAGGATAGGATGATTGTTAGCCAGGCCCGAACCCCCCCTCCAATGGTATCATTGTCAACTTTTCAACGTACTACAGCCACATACCTCCCATGGTACCTTTCCACCATCTCACGGCACCTGTCTGAGGCAGGGTTACAATCACAGAGGTCTTTAAGATGTTTGCCATTTACCCCATAATATCGGTGAAGTCGTTTGGAGTGGTATCGCAGCAAATCATCATGGTTGCCATCAGACTGGCATCGTATAGTGTTCAGCAATGAATCCCGCTTCACTCTTGAAGCAGATGACCATCATGTTTGTGTCTGGAGAGGACGGGGCCAGTGATTCCAATCAGCCTTTATTTTATAAAGGCATACAGCTCTGGTGTGATGGTGTAAGACGCTATTTCTAATGACAGCAGGTCATCTTTAGTCATCCTCCATACATATTTAATAGCTCAACGATATGTTGATACCATACTGTGGTGGGTTACATTACCCTTCATGGCACGTCATCCTTGGGCCATTTTCCAACAAGATAACACCAGGCCATTTACCGCTCGCATGTTTCTGGACTGTCTCCGTGCAAACATTAGGATGACATTAAGAACCTCTACCACTCCTTTCCTCGACGAATTCAGGCATGCAATTGCCTCCAAGGGCAGTTCGACTAACTACTTTGAACACTCAATGGGTGATTGTGAGCTGTGAACAGGTACTATGATCTTGATTTTTAATCATTTTATTATCTGTCTATCAGCTCAGTTTCATCAGAAACAGCCACTTCCTTCATAGTGCTTCAATTTTTTTGCAAAAAAAGTGTGGTGTATATATATATGTAATGTACCAGCTTTTGTCCAGAATAAATAGATTGATGAAGAATCATAGTTGTAGTCGTAGCTTAAATTATCAGACGATAAGTTTGAAAAATACGATCCATTTATTATTGGTCAGGAGAAATAGCAGTTACAAAATCAGATATCCGGAGTAAATAAAAAAGAACTACTAATAACATTTTGTATGAAGTTTAATGCATCGTTACATTAAAGAAAAGATCCCGATATTCCTTTGCGAGTCCTTTTATAGCCTCTGGAAAGGCAGACTTCCAAGAAATGACGTCAGCCTCGTCAGCCATTCCAGCTCGCTTTAAACATTTCCAGAACATTCTATAACTGTACGTGTAGAAAAGGTGGGAAAAACAACTTGACTACGGGGCTGTGGATTTAATTCCACGTACTTTAAAATAAGAGACCGTCGCCATTAAAAAATGAAAAGAACATACAGTTAGAATTTTAAGTGTGTTCTTGACTATGGAAAATTATTATTACAAAATATATATAGAGAGAAATACTAGAAGTGATCAGTATTGTATTGCTGTACAAATTGTTCAATAATTTAGGGTTATTAAATTTTTACTGTTTTACCAGTGGTAGTGTAAGAATTATTGTGCAGTAAGTGCCAGTAAAAATTAAAACTTGCTGTTTTTTAATGATTTTAGCACTGATGTCATATTCTGTATTTAAATAAAATTATGTTTTGGTTTCTCTATTTCTAATGATGTTTAGTCTTTTGTTATTTAGTGTGTTCTTTTTAGTATTGATTTCATGACTAAAATGTTTAATATCTCTTGAAGGTACTTCATAATGTGCATGGTCCTTGTGAAGTTTGATATTTCTTTATTACAGAAACTGCAAATTATGCTTCTAAGTCCTTTGCAAGAGCTTTCCTCATCTGCATATAATCCATATCCAGACATACGTCAGAAACAACTAGATTGTGCACTTCAGGTTCTTCATAGTAGTGGTGACATAATATCCAGTGGGTGGCCTCAGCTTTTGGATGTAATTGGTGCTATAAAGGAAGATCATAGGTATTTCTTTAAAAGAATTTTTTTTTTTTTTTTTTTTTTCTTTTTTTTAATTGTCAAAATATCTTTTTAGTGTTTAACTGATTGAAAAAATATTTCAACAGCCTCATTGTTGCATCTGTCTCATCTGGATGTTGTAGATTTATCATACTTTGAGAAGTTAATTACAGTAGAGTCCAAAATTCGGACATTCAATATCCAAAATGATCTAAAATCTTGACCTCAAAACCACAAACATTTTCTTTTCCTGTATGCTTCACACGTGCACATTTAATTTTTCCCCCCCATAATAAAACATATGGAGGGTCTCAATTCTTAATTTCACTTTGGCACTAAATAAATACATTGTTACTGAAGAAACAATAATTTTCTAAACATTTGTGTGATCAATAATTTTGGCTGGGTATTTGCTTCACATGCATTTCAAACCGAAGCATTCTACATACAAACATCGTTGATTTTACACCTACTAATATTTTACATTCCTGATGCCAACCTGGCGAATCATTATTTATTATATTTTGCTTTCATCACATGTTTATAAACATACAACAACTTGAGTAATGACTCATGCAGCAATGCCCAAACAATTTTTTATATTAATAATTTATTAACAAAGAGTGTGGTAACCTTTTATTTTTACATTTCTCTTGGCAATGATTATAGATATGAGTTAAATGTGCTAAGAAATGTTGACCAGGAAAAATTTAACAATCATTTCTTTCCATGTGCTAAAAATAGGTTTTGTTAATGATACTCATAGGCCAAAAGATTACATTTAGTGCTATTTAAATTAAGAATAACTGATTTATTTTTCACATAAAACCAGAACTGGCACCAGGCAGAATTTAGGGAAGACAAAATTTTTGGAATTTTAGAGAAACACCAAGCAACAAAATTAAGGCCTGAAATGTTTTTCGAATTTAGGGAAATCACTCAGATCCAAAATTGACGGGCAGCAAAAATTTAGACCTTAGGAATGCGCTTGATAGCAGAATTTAGGCCCCACAGAGACTATGTCAGGCAAAATTTAGCAGAACAACTTGTCTTTCATTACCAGTCCCATGATACGTAGCCAGTAATGTATAGCAGATGCCATTAATCTAGGCTAAAATTATACTTTTCTGATTCCAGGGAATTGCAGTGAATACAGCAGGTTGCACTGTTCCTTAACTTTCTGATTTGATCCAGCTCATTATTTTTTTCAGGGTGTTTTTATTATAGCAATTTTATGAAAATTAGTTTGAACTTACGATTATGTTGAAAAGAATTTCTAGTTCTGGAGCTGCAACAGGATCTAGAAAGCGAAAGCATATTTTGATGTCCATTAAAAAAAAAGTGAAATTGCTGCAAAAAATGGATAATGGTATATCCATCTCAAAATTGGCCAGGGGTATAAGCATTGGAAAGTCAACTGTATATAACATAAGAAAACAAAACAAAACAAAAAATTGAGAACAAGAACAAACATGACAAAGTGATGACTGAATGGGTCAGACAACATCAAAGCAAGGGCATGCCATTAATGAGTCCAGTGCTAACGGCTCAAGCTAAAATATTTCACTAAGAAATGAACTTAAAAACTGAGTGCACGTATTTGACCGGTTGGTTAACCATATTTTAAAATTGCCCTAGTACAGTCAAAAGTCATTAATTCGGACTCGTCGGGACTTCGACGATTCCGGATTATCGTTTCTTCCGGATTATAGATCATCAGTTTAAATCTGGTAAGATGGCATGCAGAAATTATAAAATTAAAAATATGAAACAGTAATTTATGAAATAAAGAACAATTATGATCTAAAGGTTACCAAAATTTACAAAAAAAAAGCTTAATATTTGTTTACTTTATTAAACATTTCTTTCAGTGTAAGTTGTTTAAGTTGCTTTGTTTTTATGTGATAATACTTTCTCTTTAATTCTATAAACAGACATAATTTCTTGTTCAGTTACAAAGTTCCGCTGTTTATGTCCTATAATTGCTGTGTCGAGAATACCGATTAATTTGTCAATCGAAATTTTTTCATTTTCAATAACCTCTGTGTCACTTTCTTTGCTATTGGAAGCGAATTATAATGACAAGGAATTTCATTTAAATCATATCAAAGACAGAGTACATGTAGTAAGGAATTATAAGCCAAATAAAATAGAAAGATCTGCCCTGAAGGTAAGGATAGTGCTGACAGATCAACCTCTAATTCATTGCGCGCCACGGCGTCCCTCTCCCCCACTGCCGCCACACAGCAGTGTGAAATTGCTAAACAGATTTCGGAATGGCTAGAGAAACAAAGGATATGCCTTTATCCATTTTTTGCAGCAATTCCACTTTTTTTTTAAGGACTTCAAAACATACTTTCGCTTTGTAGATCCTTTACATATTAGTAAATATATATCGGAAATTCTATTTGACATAATCGAAAGTTCAAGCTTACTTTTATAAAATTGCTCTAACACTCTGCAAAAAATAATAAGCTGGATCCAATTCGAAGATTAAGGAACAACGCAATCTGCAACATTAACTGAATTAGATAATTTTAGCTTAGCTTATACCGTCTGTTAACATTAAACGCGCATGCGTAAACGTATTTTGCGCACATGCACATGTATATTCGCAGCCGTAAAGGTCTTGCATGCGTAAAAGCATATGCGCATGTGCAGAAAGTTTGTAGCTTTGAGGTCCGGATTATGGGTGTCCGAATTAACGACTTTTGGCTGTATGAGGCAATTAAGAATTTCAGGGAAAAAAGCTTCAGCTGATACTGAAGGTGTTTGCAGATGAACTCATTAATAGTGAAAAGTTATCTGTATAACAAATTTACAGTGCTGATGAAATTGGTCTTTTCTGGCAATATGCATCACAAAATACCGTCAACCTCTACAGAAAAGGCTCCAACTGGTGTCAAAAATTCCAAAGCGAGACTAACAATTTTAGCATGTGCAAATGCTGCAGGAATACACAAGTGTAAACATTTCGTAATATGAGAAAATATGTGACCTCGAGCATTTAAAGGAGTAATGATTTGCCCCTTTATATAACATGCAAATAAAACAGCATGGATGTCACAAGTGTTAATGAATGATTGGTTTGGAAATCATTTCATTCCCGAGGCTCGGCAGATTTCAGTTGGTTTACCTGAGGACACAGAAATTGTCCTTAATGTAGATGACTGTTCGGCTCATACTTCACTTAAAGTTTTAGTAAATGATAATGTATCTGTATTATTTTTTCCTTCAAAATATACATCCATCATTCAGCCTATGACTATCGGAATAGTGCACACGCTGAAATGCAAATATAAAGTAGAATTTTTAAAATCTTATAAATAAAATCTTAAAAAAAAGTTAAATTATTTGAATAATGGCAAGATTATTCAAGAATTTTTGAAATATTTTAGCATAAAATATGTTTTATGGAACACTGCAGAATTGTGGAAGGAGATGCCCTCAGATACTTTAGAAAATGCTGCACATAAGTTATAGGCAGCTAACATATTTCATGGTGAGGAGGATGAATATGATAGCTGCGAATGTGATGGTTTTCAGATATCACAAACCAAAGGTGAAATTTTACAATTAATGAATTTTTTAAGCAAAAGTGGAGAAATGGTAATAAATGAAAATATAACAGCAGTTTTTCATTGTGATGACAATGCCCCAATCATCAAGTAATTAATGGATGGTGAAATCTGTTGTATGGTTCTAGATCCAGAAAGTATCACTACTGATAGTAAAGAAAGTGGCAGAGAGGTTATTGAAAGTGAAAAATTTAGATTCACAAGTTAGTCGGAATTCTTGACTTGGCAATTCCAGGACTTGAACAATGGAGCTTTGTAACTGAATAAGAAATTATGCCTGTCTACAGAAAGAGAAAATGTTAGTACAAAAAAAAGCAAAAATTTCCTTTGAAAGAAATGATTAATAAAGTAAACAAATAAATATTATAGAAATATTATCTATAGAAATCTATTATAAATAGATTATATAGAAATAGAAATCTATTAGTTGAGTTTCGCTTCAACGAAATGCAGCCATGTTTATTATTCCAAATGAGAAGAAAAGCACATGATCACTCAAAGCAATCTTATTGGCTAGAAACCCCAATTTTATCGTATGCTAGTGAGCAGTGAACACCAGTTCTGAAATCGCGGCAGAGAACATGTCCGATTTTTGGCGCATGCGCAGATCCTTAAAATTGTTGCTCTACGAGAAAGTCGGCCGAGAAAATCGCTTCGTGTAGATGGGCCTTAAGATTAGCTACATCTTATGAAAACTAATTTGCTTTACTTAAATCAGCTTTTATTTTTTGAAATTATTGGTTGTAGATGTATGCTTCCATTTACAAAAATGTTTAAAATATGGGCATTGATGTTTTAACATTTTAAATTACCCTACCCCCCCAAAAAAATGAAAGAAGTGCAAAATCGAACTTTTTATTTCATACAAAATGCCCATACTTAGTAAAAGTTTATACATATTATTGAAACAAGCTTTTTTTGGGGGGTGAGGGTCATGGAAGAAACGTTTATTGAGATATTTAAACTTTGTGGTTGCTAGGGAGCATTCAGGCATCACGTACACAGGGAAGCAAAATATTTAAATTTGTGTGTAATTAAAAATTAAATATCTGTTAATAAGATTTCTGATATTAATGGATTAAGTGGCAAGCATTGCTGTGCAGACTGACGGGAAACACAATATAAAAGTTTTTCAGAAAAGGAGATGATCTTCACGTTATAGAAATCATGTTCTTGAAAACAATGGCAGCCTTCAGTATTAATGTATGTCCAGTCTGTAACCTTTTTGTCATCATTTATTAACACAATGGACTAGCCTTCCTTACACTCCTCTTCTGCTCTTTTCTGTTTGCTCGGAGTCTTGCTGCTGGTAATCTAATTATGTTAATGTTACTAAATTCATAGCATTATTTGCATAAATTAAACATGAAAAATATTTTTAGTCCTGTGATTTTTTTATGATTGTTAGGTTATGATTCTAGAAATGTC